TCACACTGTCCCCACACTGTCCCTCCACACTGTCCCCCACACTGTCCCCACACTGTACCCACCACACTGTCCCCCCACACTGTCCCCACACTGTCCCTCTACACTGTCCTTCCACACTGTCCCCACACTGTCCCTCTACACTGTCCCTCCACACTGTCCCCACACTGCCCCCCCACACTGTCCCCCCACACTGTCACCACACTGTCCCCACACTGTCCCCACCACAATGTCCCCCCACACTGTCCCCACACTGTCCCCACCACACTGTCCCCACATTGCCCACCCACACTGTGCCCCAACACTGAACCTCCACACTGTCCCCACCACACTGTCCCCACATTGTCCACCCACACTGTGCCCCCACACTGAACCTCCACACTGTCCCCACACTGTCCCCACACTGTCCTCACTCTGTCCTCACACTCCCCCACACTGTTCCCCTGTGACATCTCCCCGCCCCGCAGCCCACTCTGAGCACTGACAGACGCTGGCGTGGGCCCAGACACCAGTTGTGAACCCGGAGCCCTGGAGCCAGAGGGAAGGGGCTTCCGGCACCCGCCCAGCACCAGCCCGGGAATGGGCTGACGAGCTGCTTCTCGGGGCTGCTGTGGGACCCACGAGGTCCTCACACGGCGGCTCGGCTGGGAGCCGGGCCCATGGCTCAGACCAGGGAGTGTCATCTGTCAGGAGTCAGGGTAATGTTCCGTCTGGGACAGAGCTGCGCCCTCCTCCCCGCCAAGCCTGGGCAGGCAGGGCTGGTCCCCTCCTCCTCCTCTCCCTCTAGTCAGGTGCCCCCACCCCGAGGAGCTGAGTTTCCTGGGCCTCAGGACTGACCCTGCCCCATGTCAGGACGACCAGGAACTGCATGGGGGAACAGGAAATCCCCACCAGCCAGCCCAGCCAGAACAGCCCCTGCCGGTTTTCCCTCTGCAGCCGTGTGGGTCTCACCAGGCAGGGACCTCAGCGGGGCCCAGCCTACCTGAGGATGACATACATGACGAGGCAGTTCCCCAGCAGCCCCCCGACACACACGGCCAGGTAGAGCCCCACGATGGTGACCTTGAGCCCGAGGGGCAGGAAGGCGCCGTGGCTGGCGTTGAGCAGCAGGTGGGGGGGCAGCAGGCTGCGGTTGGGGCTCAGGAGGGACAGGTTGCCCTGCAGGTGGCTGCCATAGAGGACCTCCCAGAACGGGGCAGGGAAGAGGGACTCCATGCTGCTGCCCTGCGTGGGAAGCCACTCGGTACCTGGGAGGGCACAGGGACATATGACTGCAGACCCAACACCCACCCCACCACGGCCTCCGCGCACAGTGTGTGTGGCCCAGCAGGCACATGGATGCCCGTGGGTAGCCGCAGACACAGAGGGACACATGCACACACACACAGGGACACATGCACACACAGGGATACACAAAGCACAGAGACACGCCTGTATATGCAGGGACACACAGGCACACACGGGTACACACACAGGAACACAGGCACACGCACACACACACAGCAACTCATGGAGACATGCAGACATGTACGTACAGACAGGGACACACAAACACAGAGGCACGTACGTACACACAGGGACACAGTCTCATCTGCCTTGCAGACTCCCACATGGGATGTGTGGACGTAGTTACACACCAGGACACGTGTCCACCCACAGGGACTCAGGGACACGCAGCCACCCGTGTGCTCACAGGCGCAGGGGCACATGGGTGCACACACACACACAGATGCCCAAACATGCCCTCAGGCACACGCAGGCACAAAAGGGGCTAAGACGTGCCCAGAAACACCTGGGACAGAACACAGGGTGGCCGAGCGCACGGCCGCCTCCTGTCCCTCCGCAGTCCTGCCGGAGAGCCGCAGGCTGTCTGCAGGTCACCCCCACACCCGACCCCCAGCAACTCAAGCCTTACCTCTGCAACCTCCCGGGAGCCGGGACACTGGAGACCCTAACCCTTGGCTGGATGGCAGAGCAGGGCTGGGACCCCCTCCCCGCCTCAGCCCCCCGTCTGGATGGGGCGACGGTGACAGCGGCGGTGGCAGCTGCTCCTTCTCAGTAGACGCCAGACTAGACGCAGCAGCCTAGCGCAGAGCTGGGGGAGGGGAGGAGGCTGCAGCTCCAGAAGGGGAGGCGCCACACAGGCTGGAGGAGGGGGCCACAGGGAAGGGGGGTCACCAGGGCCCACGCTAGATGGAGACAGACACAAGACCAGGGCACACACCTAGTGATGAACGACAGAGAGAGGCTCAGACTCACAGAGCCTGGACAGAGACTGGCTCAGACACAGTGACAGAGATACACACAGGAACTCAGACACAAGAACAGGCACACACAAGGACACACAGGGACTCAGGGACAGGCACATGGGAACTCACACAAAGACACGGAAAGAGACAGAATACAACACCTGGGACAGAGTCTCGGGGAGACACACACAAGACACCCAGACATGGGGCCACAGCTCCCACACAGACACAAGGCCTTGGACGGACTCAGACCAGCCTCGGTTGGCATCCTGTGTCCAGAACAGCGCCCCTCAGCCAGGCTCCTCAGCTGAGCCACAATGCGCCAGCAGGTGGGTGGACACGTGGCAGGGCCCCTGCATGGCCAGCCCTGAGCAGACCAAAGCCTTGTTGTAAACAAGAGGACGCCAGGACTCTGTTGTGCACCCTGCATGCCCACTGTGTGCCTCACATGCCTACTGTGCACCACGCCCATCATGAACATGATCACCCATCCCCACTGGATCTGGCCATTGCCATCAGCACCACTTTTGTGCAGACAAGAGCATTAAGCCTCAGAGGTGTGAAGCCACCTGTCAAAATGGCAGAGACAGGGCTCAAACTCAGGTTTGTCTGGCACCGAGACACACCAAGGGCGTCTCTGCCACAGCTGGGTCCCAGAGCAACATCTGAGCCTCATTCCTTCACAGCCTGGGCCCCCAGCACCCATGCAGCTGAACAGCTCCCATGGAGCTGCCTCCTTCCCAGCCTGAAGTCACAAACCATGTGGGTGACCCCTGAGCTGAGTCGCCAACTCCACCTAGTCCTGGGGTCATTCTTCCTGCATGGGCCCTACCCACACAGCCCAGACCCTTCTCAGAGCATCCGTCTCCAAGGATGGGGACCTGGTTGCTAGGCGACCTGGAGCAGCGTCGCTAGGATACCTGGTGAATCAGGAGAGGACAGGGCAGGGAGATGCCCCAGGACTCAGCATCCCAAGCTGTCCCCCAGGACTTATCTCTGCATCTTCGCTGCAGCCTACTCAGGGACACGTGTGGAGACACAGGGCATGTCCCCAGAGACACTCAGGACACACAGACTCACATGCTCGCAAACACACATAAAGATGTCCAAGCAGGCACACGGGTAGACACACAGACATGGGTGCACACGCAGAAATGCACAGACACTCACAGGGACGCACAAACACGTGTGCACACACACACACACACACAGGTGCACGTGAGGCACGTGAGTAGACACAAGAGAACAGGAAAACACACAGATCAAGGCCCCCAGACGCCCAGGGAACAGACGCGTGCACCATACTCTGCAGACAAAGCTCAAAGCACCTCCTGCTGACCTCAGGAGCCCAGCAGGGGCAGGAACCCAGGGAGGCTCGGCCTCCCGTAGCCTCCCCTAGCTGGGCTCCCCCAGGCCTGACCAGCCAACCTCAGTCCCTCCTGACCCAGTTGCCTGTGCCCCCACCTGCTCGCCAGCCGAGAGGGCTGTTTCATACTGGCCTTTAGCCGCCTCCCAGCCCAGCAGGCCTCAGCTGGGGAAAGGGATGGGCCATGAGGTGGCTTCGAGGCTGGACGTGAGTTACAGTCTGGACAGAGACCCTGTGAGAGTGCATCTGACAGAGCCGGCACAGGACAGCTGGAGGCCGATACCTGGCCCCTCACAGGCACAGTCTCAGCTGAAGGACAGGCTTAGTCACCTGGCTGATGGGTAGCCAGGCCAGGATGCTGACTACACTCCTTGGGGGTGGCAGCAGCCCAGCCCTGGACACTGGAGGGCACCCACAAAGGGGGCTGACGCCTCTTGACCCCTGAGCGGAAATGGTCTAGGCCTCTCTTGACCCCTGAGCAGCCAGAGTAAGACACAGAACATATGTGTCACACGTGGACACATGTGACAGCAGGGGACACGTGTTATATGAGCGAGTATTTAGGTCAAAGTAGGACAACTTCAAACACACGTCATATGTAGGCAAAACAGAACACGCAGGGACACAGGGACTGCCCGAGACACACAGCTTGCGAATGATAGCACAGAACACAAACTATGGTCGGAGCCCACCGGCGCCCTAATCGGAACTCAGATGCATCTGGGGCAGGACCCAGGTCCCAGCATGAGATTCACACCCACACCCTGCGGTAAACACACCCCACTCTCGCCCCAACGACTCAGAGCCTCACAGGGCGGATGGCAGACTCCAGCGCCAGCTCTGCCGCCTGGGGCAGGCGTGCTGTCCGCTCCCCCCTCTGCACGCTTCACCACCCCTGGACTGGGCACAGGAATCAAAGCATCGTCACTGGCAGCCTCACACAACAGCCGTCCCCTGGGGAATTCAGTCACCAAGCCACACTCAACCACTTGTGCTGTCAAGAAACTGAAACTCAGAATTTTTAATAATTCTGAATTTCATCACAATAAATTATTTTGTTCTTATGATTTCAACTTCATAATATTTATATACAGCAACAAGAGAATTGAGTTGTAGATTTTCAATTTAATGTTAAATTTTGTAGCCATTTGATAAAGCTTATTAATTTTATTTTGAAGTTTATTTTCAGGCTTTGGCACCAATCAGCACTTATTTTTTTTAATTTTTCTTTTTTTTGAGGAAGACTGGCCCTGAGCTAACATCTGTTGCCAATCTTCCTCTTTTTCTTTTTTTCTCCCCAAAGCCCCAGTACATAGTTGTGTATCATAGTCGTAGAGCTGTAGCTCTTCTATGTGGGACCCCTCCTCCGCATGGTTTGATGAGAGGTGAGTAGGTCTGCACCGAGCATCCAAACCGGCAAACCCGGGGCCACCGAAGAGGAACGCGCGAACTTAACCGCTAGGCCACCGGTCCGGAGCCCCAGTCAGCATGCTTTTAGATCTCAGCACTTCCACTGGCCCTTGAAAAACACACGAATCCTGGACTCAGAAACAGATGGAGGACAGTGGTGCCTGGTGGTGCCTCACAGTTGCTGGGCCTCAACAGACACACAGGGAACAGCTGCCCTCCCAGTGGAACCACCGGTGTGTGGAGAAGCAGGAAGAAGCCATGCTCAGGGATGTGGGCTGTGTGGGCACCAAGCCCTCCAGGAATTACGGAGGGAGGAAGTGTCAAAGTTTTTCAGTCCTACAAAAGCAGAGGGAAAGTCCCAAGTCCCTTCTTGCAAGAGAGTGTGCCCCCACTCCCTCTGTAACCCCACTTCACCACCAGAAGCCAGCAAGCCACCCCCCTCCTGTGTGACCCCTGGAGGCTGAGAGGAGCGCCCAGATCCCCGTCTCAGAGAACTCACCGTGTGGGAGCACAGAGTGGGGGCCAGTGGCGGCCCCAACCTGGGCCGCATTGTATCCAGGAGGCCTGTCTGGAGGAGGTGACCTACTAGGTCAGCCTTCCTAAGCCCTCACTGCTTCTTCTGGAGCCCAGAGAACTTCATCTTCAACAAGCCTCCAGGTTGGCGCTGAATCCCAAGGCCCAGGCCACACCCCAAAGGTGCACGCAGAGTGGGACAGGGCAGCTTCCAAGGAACAACTTGTACGAAGGCTTAGGGGCTGGAAGGATGGACAGTCATTCTGTGGAGCTCGGGGGTATGGTGCAGGCTTGGGTATGGGGGAGCACAGGCATAGTTTACCCTCTGACCAGGCGGCCAGAGCAAGCTTCCACAACAGTGGGAACAGTGAACAGCCTCCTGCAGAAAGGCCAAAACCTCGGCTAAGACCCCACCCCCAAAACCAGGATGGCCCCACCTCAAGGGCTCAGGTACTGAACTCCCAAAGGCACCATCTATGGGCCCCAGCGCCCACATCGGCCCCAGGGGCACATTCACGAGTAAAGGGGAGAGTTATGTGTGTGCCGTGGAAGCCACCCATACATTAACAAATTATGGACTTAGTGCACCAATTTTGGCCTAATGTAAACTGTGGAATGAACACACGAATTAATGAATTCTAGAATAAACTGTTGAGTTTATGAATAAATTATAGAACTAATAAATTTAAAAGTGAATTAGTTATAAAAGATTATGAAATTAATGAATACACAAATAGATTACAGAAATCTAGGACCCAGGACCCAGAGATTTAGGTTCAGCAAAACCTAGGTCTGGTCTGGTGGGACCCCTGGGGCCTGAAACTTGCCTTGGAAGAGGTGAGGGTCCTGAGTTCTGTCCCACTTTCCCCTTTCTGTGAACCCCAGCACCTGTTGGGCCATGCAGAGGGGAAAGGCCCTCAGTCACAAGTCTCCTCATAGCTGCGCCCCTTGCCCCCAAAACTTGTCCCCAAAGACCTCTCCAGCCAGGAAGCTGGGCCCACAGCCCCCAGAAGAGTGTGGGGGCTCAGTGAAGTTCTCTGGGTGCCAGAAGAAGCACTGAGGGCTTAGGAAGGCTGACCTAGCAGGTCACCTCCTCCAGACAGTCCTCCTGGATACAATGCAACCCAGGTTGGGGCCGCCACTGGCCCCCACACTGCGCTACCACATGGTGAGTTCTTTTTGGGCTCCCCAAAAAGGAAAGAAAGCACCCAGGAAAATCTGGCGGTCACCTCCTCCAGGGTCCTCAACGGCCCAGAGGGGCTGGGGCAGGTGACCCTGGTGACCTCCACCTGGACTGCTCTGCCCACGCCCCTCTGGAACGGCTGCCCCGCCCCCATCAGTTGGGGAGGGGCAGGACTCCCGGTTGCCGGGCAACCGAGTCAACAAGCCCCAGAGAGTGGCCAGAGTTGGAGGCTCAGACCAAAAAGGCATGATGTACGGGGTGTGGGGCCCGGAAGGGGGTGGTGACAAGGGTCGGGCCCTGGATAACAGTAGCTAAGGATGGATTGGGGGGGAGGGGCGCTGTCGCCAGCGGAAACCTAGACTGTGGCTCTAGCCCCCCGGCCCACAGTGGGCCAGAACCTGGCCCAGGGTCGGGTCTGCGGTGCTGTGGGCTGGTTTGGGGGAAGGGAGGAGCCCTGAGGACGGAACCCCCCTGGGGTCAGTTCCCTTTTCCCCCTCATCGACCCTCTCCCCTCTATCACCTCCTCCCTGGGGTCTGCTCTCCCCTCCTCCATCTAGACCCAGCAGGGGACAGTCTAGGAAGATGGGGTCTCCCCTGCAGCAAGCAAGCTGTCCATTCAGCTCTGAGCCGCAGACACACGAGACCGCCCACAGCCAGACTGACTCACACAAGAACATCCAGACACACACAGACAGACAAACCTACACGCATCCCCCAGAAGGGCATGAGTCCAGGACACAATGAAGGCCCACCCCTCCATCTCCAGGCCCTAACACTAAAGCAGAGGGCCCTGAGGCCAATGTGGGGCAGACTAGACCAGACCAGTCCCTGGGGTTCCAGGGTGGGTGGGGTTTGCTGACTGACCGGTGACCCCACCCGTCGGGGACTGGAGCACAGTGAGGATCGCAGCCTCACGGGGAAGGGTCCCTCCCCAAGAGCAGTCTCACGTGGTCAGCCCAGAGGTCTCTGCATTTTCTCAGTGACAGAGAAACAGCCCATGGGCAGGAAGGGAATTTCTTGAAAAGCTGAGTGGGTCAGAAAGTCGCAGCTTCCTGCAGGACCGAGAAGGGAGGCTGAGCTGATGGGGACTGTGCTTGGCTTGGCAAATGTGGCTGCGGGGAGTCCAGAGCGGCCGGAGCTGGGAGCGCACGGTGGGGCCAGGCCGGAGGGGCGGGCAGGTGCCCAACGGACACCGCTTGGCCACCAAAGGGAAGCCCTCTTCCCTCGGCAGGGGGCAGGGCCGAGGATGCAGCCCCCGCCGCCGGCGACGGAGGGGGGGCGCACAGTCCTGCGGGAGCGAGCGGGACAGGGCGCACAGGACGCAGGGTTCCGTCAGGAGCGCGCCAAGGGGGCGCCCGCGCCAGAGCCCCCCAAGCCCGGCTGGGCCCTAACGCTGGAGGGGCTGGCGGCCGCACCCCCCGCGCAGCGCCACCGCCAGCTGCTCTTCGGCGACGTGCTTGAGGACGTGGGCGCGGCGGCCTCCATCTTCCCGCGCGAGTCTGTGGAGCTGGGGTACCAGATGCCCGACCCGCGCGCGTGGACGCAGCCGCTAGAGCCGGCGGAGCGCCAGGAGCGGCTCCTCGGCGTCCTCAAGGCAGCCGAGGCCCGAGGCCGAGTCCGCGCCTTGCGACTGCGCTACACCCGCATGCGGGTGAGGCGAGCGGGCCGGAGGGAGGGGGCGGAAAGGCGAGAAGGTTGGGGGGCAGGCCAGGAGAGCAGAACGGCCCGGCCCCCGTGAGGCAAGGGGCGGGGTGCAGACGGATCAAACGCGGGGCGGAGGGGGTACCAGTTGGGATGCCCTGCGGGAGGGGGCTGGGTGGAGGCGGACGGGGAGTGGGGCAACTGCCCGCCTGGGTGCTCTGCAAAACGTCACGGAGGCCCAGAAACACCCCCGACCCCGGGACCGCAGGCGGAGGAGATCTCGCTCCTCATTCTGCATCAGAAGTCCGCGCGCGCCGCCATCCGGCTAGAGCTGTTCTTGCCGCCGCTGAAGCCCACGCGGATCCGGGACCCCCTGGACCGTCAAGAGGTGCCTGCCAGCCCGGGAAGGGGCAGAGAGGGGGCCCCGCCCGCCTCCCCGCACACCTGGCCCCAGCCTTCTCCCCCGCAGCGGAGGCGCGTGGAGACCATCCTGGAGGAGAAAGTCGATGGCAGCATCTTCCCGCGTTGACGGTGACCCCACAGCGCGCGAACGTGCCCCACCCTCCCACATAAAGCTCTCGTTCTCCAGGCGCCCCCTGTTCTTTCCCCTCCCCCTCTCCAGGTTCGCCGGGAGGGAAGGGGGAGTATGGATGCTGCCTCTCCCCCATCCGATGCCACAGACATCAGGGTACACAGCATGGGGCTCCTCCAACAAAGCAGGAAGGTGCAGGTGGACAGGCGGGCATCAGATTAACAGAGGACAGAGACACTCCTAATCTCCCGAATCCTGGGATGCCCCCATCAGGCAACCTAGTGCCCTGGGAGTCCACGAGGGCCCCCAGTCTGGGGGCACAGGAGGTAGAGCCTGGCTTGGCAACAGTCACAGCCCCAGAAGTAAGGGCAGGCTTGAGGAGAAAGTGGAGCCCAAGTGGGACGCCAGATTGCAGGTCATTTCATCAGGGGATCAGGGAAGAGGGTAATAATCTGGGCGGGGGGTGACTGCACAAGCCAAAGCTGGCCTTTGGGGCATCAGCCTTGCCCAGGAGGTCCTCCAGAGGACCGAGAGACTGGGGAAGGGAGACCCCTCAGGGAGGCCCCAGTGCCCCAGACAGAAAATCACCCTCTGGGTTTTCTTTCAATTCTGAATGGCCGCCTCTGCTCCCCTCTGCCCCCCTTACCGGCCCACCACACACACAGACATATTCACACACAGGACAGGAAGGAAACCAGCCCTGTCCCATTCTAACAAACCCTTGCCCTGCACCCCCTCTGGGGTCTGAAAAGCCTCCCCAGTTTCTGGGCAGGTCTCCCCTTGGAGAATTGACTCTTCTCGTCAACACAGACTCTTCGCAGAGTCTGGGACTTCTCTAGGGCCCCTCTGCCTTTTCCTCGCTCCCAGCCCCTCCCAGCCCGTGGCTGCAGTGGTGGGGGCTGCAGGGACTCAGCCAAGCCCCGTCCCCTGCCAGGGGGCTCCTGCTGAGTCAGCCCGCAGAGAAGGGATCCAGGAGGGGTGCATTCTTTACTGGCAGAGGGCAGAGCTGGGGTCTGACAAGAAATCCTGCATCATGACAGATGGTGCCCTCCCTGACCTGGCTCAGGGCAGGACAGAGCTGCAGGGGGACCTGGGCTCTCTGTGCCCTCAGCAAGCCCTTTCCCCCTGCACCTGACCCTTTGCCCTTTCTGAGCTGTCACTGCCCTTGGCCCTGATCCAAGCCCAGAAGTACTTGTGGAGCTGGAGTCTGGCAGCTCCAGGAGGGAGGGGAGAGCTATGTATGGTTGGGGGGTGGGGTTACAGGCAGGGAGGGGGAGGAGGAACAGAGCGAGAGAAGGTGGCTTGGGCTGAGGACAGAGAGACAGGGAAGGGGAGGCAGTCTCCCTGTCCAGGAGTGGCGGCCACTGCACCCTGACACACAGGAGGACAGCCAGCCCTGGCCCCTGGCCAAGCCCCGGGCAGTCTGGACCCCAGCATTCTGCCTCTGGGGGATGTACCAAGTGCCTAGGATGATTTCATCTGTTTAGTAAAGCACACTTTATTTCATCACTTCTCTGAGCCTCCATTTCTTCATCTTTAAAATCAAAGTCTTGTGGGTCTCACTTGGCACTGTGCCCCACGCGGTGACCCCACACGGTCACTCTGCATCAGGCAAGCACCAGATGACAGAGGGACGAGACAGATGCACAAGCCCTGAGGAGAAGGCCAGCAAGAAGCTGGGCTCACAGGCTGCTCTGCACCAGACCTCGAACTGGTACATGGGTGCCCTTTGATCCTCATGCCAGGGAGGGGTCCCTAGGTCTGCAGAGGAGACCAGGGAAAGTGGCTGAGGACATTTCTGCGGGGTCTAGAGGAGGCTTCTGCTATGGGAGAGCAAAGCATGTGGGCCAAGGCCCAATGTATTGGGGTTGTGAGGGATCAGGTGGGTCCTCGGGACTGGGAGCTCATGCTCTGGCTAGAGGGTCCTGGGTTCAGATCCCATCTCCAGCATTATGTGCTGCGTCGCCTTGAAAGAGTTCCTGCCCAGCCCACCTAGGTTCCTCCGGTGGAATACAGGGATGCTCTGTGCAGAGACAGACTCCCCAGAGGAGGTACCAAAGACCCAGAAGGGCTGAGGGGAGAGGAATGGAGAGCAGGCTCAAGTGGCCAGAGGATATGGGGAGTCGCCAGAGAGGGGATGTTGTGTGGAGGGCTAGGAGGGAGGAGGGGGGAAGGGGGTTTAGGGTGGGGAGAGACGTGTGCTGACCCCCCCGCCACGGCAGCTGCCCCACACATTTCTCAGGAGGTGGGTGGAGCTGAGACACCCAGCGCTGTGGTGTGTGTCGAACTGGCTATGTGACCTTAACCAGGTCCTGGCCCATCTTTGTGGGACCTACCTCTCAGCACTGCTATCTAGGCTACATAAGAAGCCACCGCCTCCAGTCTGGACAGGCGTCCAGCCTCTGCCCTGTCTCTTCTCACCTCGCTGACCTTGCCCCTCTCCTCCAGCCTGCCCCCACCCCCAGGCCCTGCCCTGCTGTTGCGCTACCCATCCTTTGCTGAGCGAAGATGCCGAAGATGCGGCGCCGGGATACCTCCCTCCTGCCCTGCGGCTGTCAGCAGCCCTCCTCACCCCTCAGCCCGCCTGTTTCTCCTCTGCTCCAGGGCAGGTCTGTCTTGCTCACTGCTGGGCCCCACTGCCTGGCACAGGGACACCCGGATACTTGCTGAATGAATGAAGGGCCTGTGCAGTCCCTTCTCCTTATGTGGTGAGGAGTTCTGACACACGCGCACACACCCGCAGTTGGAAGGCATCTTGTGACCAGGCTGAGCCCCTGCACCGGGGACAGGAGCTGCACTGACCTGGGACCAGGGGGACCCTGACATGCCACAGGCCATTTCCAGAGCATGGTCAGCGCCTCTCCGACACCGGCCCAAAGCATACTGGGATAAGGAATTTAACTCACAGCTGTATCGGGTCACAAAATACGAGGAGAGTGGGCCAAAGAGAAGGGACAGGGCATTCGTGGCAAAGGGGAGGGTGTGGCTTCAAACTTGAGGACATCTTGGGGCAACTGGAGGAGTCGGAAGAGACTAGGCCAGGCCTCACGGACGGGGACATTCGATGAGTCCAGATGTAGGAACCCGGACCCCAGCATCCACCCGCGCCGCAGCACAGGAACCCCTTCCTCGGGAGGCCCCTACCGCACGATACTAGCGCTCTCAACCCATTTTACCCATGAGGGCACCTCGTCTCAGAAAGGCTAGGGCCGGGCCGAGGAACCATCCGAGTCCTTTCCGGCGGCCTCTTCTTATGGCGGGGCCAGCAGCACATCGGGACGCCGAAGTCTGGAGGGCTCTCGTGCCCCCGCCCTGGACTGGAGTCTCGTGGACGCCCACATGAATGGCAAAGCTGGCATGGCCTCGCTGAGCAGAGTGGGGGGCACGGCCACACCCCCATCTACTACAGTGCCAGCTCAGGCCGCCCCGGGGCCAGAGGCCCCATTATTAGCACCTCATCTCCACGGGCCACCCTGAGCGACCGGGGGGACAGAGGCCCTGCGCGGGACCGGGCGGGGCGGTGGGAGGGGGCGGTGGGGCGCGG